ATTTACCATTTTTTGGACAAAAAATCAATTTTGTACCTTGCTTAACGTTTTGGTTATATTATTTGCACTTTCCAAATACAAATTTATGGATAACAGTAAAAATAGATATGAAACAAAAAGAAAAAATTTACTGTAATTAAGCATTTACTTTTCAAAAATATAAATATATTTTAATTAAATGAATATAAAAATAATGATTCAAAAATATATACATTATAAATAATTAAACAGTTGTTTTGCAAAAATAAATTTTATACTAATAAAAATTATAGTAGTGTTATTTCTTGAAGATGCAAATATACTTTATATTTGGTAGGTATAAAAGTAATTATTTAAAACTGTATATATTATTAATAACTAAAGAATTATTATAATCAAAAGGACTTTTTGATCTTTAAAATTCCATATTATTATCTATTTTTTGTAAATTGAGAAAATACGAAATTCAATCTTTCCTCAGTGCAATTTACTCCAAATAAAAATGTGCAGCATATTGCTAGATGAATACAATCAGAAAACTAATTTATTTAGATAAACATTATTGCATTAAAATTATTAATTATTATGTTACTAATATTTTAGAGTGCAATTAATAATTAAGACGCATTGTAATATTATATATTTACTATTAATGAAACAATTCTTATCAAGATCTAGCATATTTTAATCAAATACACTTATGATTTAGTCTTTCTCTTTTCCATTTTGCCATATGGGAACATATTCAAAAATTGTTTATAATTATAAATATAAACCTTTTTCAAACTGCACTCTATATTTAAATATTTAGAATACAAAAATTGACAGAAGAATATCTTTTATATCAACTATAAATATTTAGACCGGAAAGTATTAAAGAATTTTGCAACGGAAATCAAACTTGGTATTGAAATTATTGATTTGTTTTCGTACCGAAAATCTGCAGTTTTCGGTCTACACGGTTGTATTTTTGGCAAAGAGTAAGTATAATAAGTAATAATAAACAGATTATAATTAAATTTGTCTAGTACATATATTGCACATACAATACTAGCCAAATAAATTTGGACACAAGGCGTTTTTCTTTTTGTTTGTTGAAATAACATAACAGTAAATTTCAAGTAAATTATATGAAAGTAATTACATATTATAAAATATAATGCATATTTCAGCTCGTTATATCAAAATGTGTATTTTATGTTGAAAGTTATTAAATTTGTTAATATAATCTATTTATCATCTGTATGAATTAGTCGATTTAATATTAATATACTGAGGTATTGAAATGTATTGAGAAAACTTATTTGTTCTAATACATTTGCATAATACTGTTTGGAATATGTTCTGAATGTATATTGTGGAAATTTATTAGCAATATATTCGTTTTCAATTTATTTGTAATACAGTTGTTTACAATATATTTGTAATTTCTATTTTGTAATTTGTTTGTAATAATAATTTTGTAATTTATTTCTAACAAATAGTTTGTCGTTTTGCAGCTTCCGTAACATATGTTCGTAAAATATATTTTCTAGAGTTATCATTTAAGTATATTTCTTCTTCTCAGCTATTTAATCTTGCAAAAATAATACAAATACTTCGAAAGCAAATGTTAGAAATACAAAAATTTATGACGTAAATGGATTTTAATTATCAGAGTGACATGAATTTTCATATTCAAATTCTGATTCTAAGATTCTTTCTTTTATTACCAATTCTCATGGTCTTACTTCTATAAACACAATAAAAAATATAATTCCTTGCATATGAGGATTTCATTACAGTCGCATTATTACCCAAAAGAGTATTTCTATTTTCTTATTATTACCTGCCGGTTTTACTTTCAAATGCATCACAATTATAATTTTCATTTAAATCATTCTGAGCCCTTTTTTAAATAAAATAAAACACAATTCATAATTAATTTTCAACTAACAGTGAAATTATTGAGGAATTTTCCAATACTAAAATTTACCAGAGCTAAATACCGTAATATATTCGGCTAAAAATACTTTTAACCTTTAATAGACTTGTACCGCGTTCAAAATAAACATCTTTTCAATACCGTTAAAGAGCCAAATTTGCATCGGCCAAATATTAGGAAATTTCAATTACTTTTACTATATATCGTTTAAAGATCAAAATATGATAGTACGTTTTATCAATTGCTACCTTAATTTTTTCAAAAATGCATTTGCCATATTTGCAAATTAAATAATTGTATACCAACTCTTTGTTTTTGGGACACCCTGTACGTGTGGCCGACTTGTGTGCGCGTGTAAAATGCGGGTGTGTGCGTTCACACTAATGAACTAGGGAGATCGCATCGCTGCACCCGGAAAGATGGCCAACAGAGGGAGGCAGAGCTGGTCAGCTGATCGCGAATGTTGTTTCCCGGACTAACTCAATCGCTATGTCCTTTTCGTCGCATGAGTGCCGCTGTGAAACGAACGACACCGAACGATACACGTGCGCAGTCTCGCGCCGCTACATATTTACCGTGAACATTTAATTGCCTCATAGGCCGACCAAATAAAAATAACTTCCTCATTAAGGTACTACCGGTATATACACATGACATGCGAGGAACTGTCACAGTGCCGTAGCAAAAGAGTCACGGACCCCGAGCCAATAAAAATTTTAACCCTCTCAAGTATAAATGGTAATAAGATCGACTTTGGTTTCCTCTATCTTTCTATTCTATATTTCTAATCTTTGCGGGACATTATACAGTCGAGAGCAAATCTGGCTTCCGTAAGAATAACGAAGCATACAGAAAGGAAGAGCAATCTGTTCCTCTACTTTTAGAGGCCTTTAGGAACGCGTGAATTTGAATTTGGGTTATATGAATTTACAGGAATGAGAATTTGGGTATGCATGAATTTGTGGAAATAGCAATTTTAGGATATAGATATTTGGAGATACTGCGAATTAAGAAATATAAAGGTATGAGAATCTAGAGATTTGAACGTTTAGTTTGGGGATATATGTATTTGAATGACTTAAGAGGAAGCCTCGAAGTTGGAGATATACGAATAATCTTAGAACTTGAATTTTTAGGAATTTGGAGACGTAGGAATTTCAGGACACGTGATCTGAAAATATTAGGATTTGGGGATGTAGAAGTATATGAATCTACAAACATAATGGACTAGAAATATAGTAAACTGTGGACTTAGGAATTTGGAGAATTTGGAAACTATAAAATTATGGAGAATTTAGAAATTTAGAAATCATTATATTTGGGGATGTAGAAGTATATGAATCCACAAACTTAATGGATAAAAAATATAGAGACCTATGAATTTAGAGAATTTTGAAAATTTAAAAATTAGAAATTTAGGGAGTATTTAGAAATTTAGAAATCATCAATATTACGTATAAATGTGTCATTATTTAAAGGAAGCTTACACTCAAGTATGCAAGAAAGAAACTAAAAATTACTAATTGTAGCGAGAATTTGATATGGCAATCTAAAATTTTGTTCAATAAAATACAGAAATTGTACCATATCTCGAATTTGTAAGTTTAATATCTCAATTTTAACGAAATTTGGTATAATAATAGGAATTGTAGTACTGAAACTAATCATGGATGTTGTGTGTAAATATTTCGTAGTTTACAATTAATAGTACAGGAATATTTGACATTATACTTCTGGGATAACTTTATATATTTTTTAAAATAACATTTTATTGATTAAGCGAATGATAGAAGACAAGTGCTTTACCTAGTAATTCCCCACAGTCTTTGACGTAGATTCGAATCCCAATAGGATCCAAACGATAGCATTTTTGTTTAAATGTGTTTTTATCAAATACAATAATTTATATGGATACGTTTTCATTTTACACATTTGTTATTAATTACTGTATATTGTTTACGATAATCACATTCTGGTTATTTTTGTTCTTAAATTATTTTCTTGCTTTTCACACATAAAAATTACTTATCTTTTAACAATAATTATGAGTAAAATTTTATCCAACTCAAATTTTAATTCAGTATTAAAACAATAACACATCTTAAAACTCTTAAGTTTTCGAATTTGAAAATTTTTAAATTATCGAATCTACAAAATCTCATTTTGTTTCAAATTCTTAAAGCAACAAATATTTAAATTAAAAGGTTGTTTACTATTCGAACTTGCAAGTTCATAGATGACCAAATCTTAAATTCAGAAATTCAGAAGTTAAGAGATTTCAAAAATTCAAAAATTTTAATTTTTTAAATTATCCGAATTATCTAGTCCCAAGATACTTAAATTCTCAAATTTTCAAAACTCCAAATCTCCAAATTACCAAACTATCAAAATCCTTAAATGTTCAAACTTGCAAATTATCGAATTACCAAATTCTCAAATTTGTGGATTCTCAAATTAGTAAAATATTTCTCAATTCCTGAACTTCTGTCTTACAAAACTTTCACCAACACTTGTGCTATAAAAAGGAAACAATGAGAAATGTATCCCTATATATGATGCCTTAATAGAATCGCAACTTGCGCACGAACACATCTCCTACCATCCAAAGATTGAGCACTTGAGCACTCCCGAGCAGTGTCTCAAACCTGATCACTTAACTAACTCAACGTATAACTTGAAATTGCAGATCGATAACTAAAAACCTTCAAAATACCACGTAGACTAAAAATCTACGCTGAAAATCACATACGATTAGTTTCAGTGTCTAAAGCGCAATCGTCGTGCCAAATATCGTTAAAATCAGGGTATTATTAGAACACCACTAATTTTAAGCTGTTTCAACTTGTCACAACATGCAGACATTTTTCGTATCAATTCACTCGATATGAAAGGCAGATCATCCTGCAACCGTGATAACACACCCCACTGCGTCACACGACGGCCAGCATCCTGAAACGATGTTGCGCGGTGCTCCGAATTCTGACTGAGAAAACATCGATGACACGTCCGCGACAATTGCTGTCTCTTACACGAATATACCCGAAAAGATCCGACGATTCGTTGCGAATGCATACACGATAATTTAGAAGAGACTTACGTGGGCATTGACACGACCGGGCAGCCAAGTTGCAGAAGGTTTCTGGCGAGATATTCCGGCGCAGGTGCGTCGATCGCAGGTGCGGAATGCCTGGCGGGCCGGACTGACGCAGCATTCGATTTTTCCGTTGTCCATGACGTGGACGATTTTCCATCATACGATGATACGTGCAATCGATTGCGATCGATGTTGCCCGAGTTAGATGACTTGGGTATCCTTAGAGAACTGGCGCGTCGAAACGACGAACCTAATTCGCTGTCTGAAAAGCAGATGTCATAACGTTGCATTGTATAATAATTGATTTATAACGCAACCCCGGTTGACGCACGCGGAGTTTTAGGAAACTTTGTACGATTCTTCGACTGGACCTATCTGAGTGTATAATCGAATTTGTTGGTGTTTTTTACTCTAATTGTAGCGACTCTTAGTCGAGACGAGGTAATGTAACTGTTGACTGCTATGTATTCTGTGTAATTGCTTATAAGTCGTAAACGACGGGAAATATTAAGAATAGTTTGAAACAAAAATTATACAGTTCCTTTAGATCTACCAATATGTGAGAAAGGTTTTTGAAAAATATAGTTTTAGGAAAATTTGCCTCACATTCATCTTCAATTTTTCTAAGATTAGTCAATTACATGAATATTGCATAAATATTAATACGTAAATATACAACAAAGGAAAACATCTGCTATTAAATTAAACGAGGTAGATGAAATGAATAGAAAAATCTTGAAAGAAAAATATTAGTACACTTGCAAAACATTAGCATATATTTAATCTAAACAGAGGATAAAAATATGAACTAATTTGAAAATACAATAAATACAAACCTTTATTTCTTAATAACTTCAGACATCCATTTAAATAATAATTTAAACAAATATTGGGTTTTATGTTGTTAAATTGTTCTATTCTATGTGATAAATTTATTTAATGGCTGAACGTTGCCTAATTACTTCATATGTTCACAAAATAGTTGTATAAATTCTTCCAAACAATTTTATAATATTTACTATATGATATTTATATTGAGAAGTATAAAAGACTTTGAAAATGGATATGTGCTCTGTTACAAAGTATATTTTAATCAATTCTGCTCGATAAGTGTCTTAAGAAATAAATCTATTTAGAATAACCTGCTATTTATATAATTTAAATATACTTTGTTCGTCATTTTTTTTTGGAATAAACTATATGTTGGTTTATCATTTCAGCTTAAAATGCCGAGTCATCTGGATACATTTATCGAGGTTTGTAATTTCGTTTCTCTCCACTATCGACTACAACTTAAAATTAAGTTATAGAAATAAAATTATTTCTTTCTCGCTACATTTGTTGTTTTGCAAATCGTAAATATTATTCTTTGCATCATTTTATCAGTGGGAAACTTTTCTTTTTCCCAACTGGATATACTGTTCATTTAACAACGAAATAAACAGCGAAATATATTTACATTTAATAAAAGAACAAGTAATAAATATGCAGAAGAGATTACTGAATGTAGACTCATTTTTTTATAATGATTAGCAGGCCAAGATTATTCAAATTTATTATGTAAGAGAGCACATATCCATTTTGCAATGATCTCTACACTTCTGAAGCATAAATATTATAAGCATTCTAAAAATTGCTCGACAAAACTTAGACGAGCATCTTACAAGAATGTGAATCAATTTGACCACATTCCATGATTAAAAAGGATTTATTACAGAAGAATAGAACCGTATATCGCTAAATACAATCGATAGTTGTTTAAATTGTTGTTAACTCCTTGCCATACTTTGATGAGTTTGACCAGTAACGTACTCGCAGATCAAACATGATAAATCTTATCAAATTTTGAATATGCTTCAATTTTAATTTTAAGGGCAATTGTAATTTACATAGGTAAGTTTCGCTGAATGCAAAATGTTACAGTTATTGTAATTATTCGATACATACAGGGTTTGTCCAATAAGTATCCGGACTGATTTTTTTCTGCTAGTTTGGTAGGTCAGGGAGCAATCTCTATTAGCTAGATCGATGCGGAAAGTTGTTATGTATAATAAAAATCTAGGTTCATTTGTTTTCCACCATTTGTTTCGTTTATATCGTGCTTGAAGTGGAAGCGTATTTAACGTTTGCGTCGAGAATCAAAATGCAACGAAACATCGAGCAGCGTTGTGCGATTAAATTTTGCGTTAAGCTAAATAAATCTGCTACGGAGACATTTAATATGATTCGTCAGGCCTACAAGGATGATTCCATGTCCAGAACGAGTGTTTTTGAGTGGCACAAAAATTTCAAAGATGGCCGTGAAGACGTTGAAGACGAGCAACGCGTTGGACGACCGTCGTCGTCCCGATCCGATACGAATGTCGACAAAGTGCGGGAAATTTTGAATTCCGATCGCCGTTTAAGCATTCGTTTAATTGCACAGGAATTAAATTTAACGAAATCCACTATTCATTCTATCGTAACCGAGGATTTGCAAATGCGAAAAGTGTGCGCTAAATTGATTCCGAAGGTTTTAACAGAGGAACAGAAAGAACGCCGTGTGACGATTTCTCGTGAACTTTTAGAATGTTTGGAGAGGGATTCAAATCTTTTAGACAGAGTGATTACCGGTGACGAAACATGGATTTTTGAATACGATCCGGAGTCAAAAATGCAAAGTGCTGAGTGGCACACAAGCGGCTCTCCT